TCTGGATATTCTCGAGCTCGTCTCCAGTAGTCCATTTCGGCGGTTAGAAGTTTCGGATGTTAATAATTTGATAAAAATGGATCTGTACCACAGACTAGACTAGGAGCTTTGCAAGAGTTAATTGTAATTTTTACAGAAAACACGGCACTTTTATGTAGCTGGATAGAAAATTACTTCTTTACACAACTTGAGGCAAATCCCAAGTTTTTTTCTAAAACAAACCTCAACTTAATTGATATGGACTTGAATCTTATTGAACAAGGAAGTTTTTCTAAAAGTGGGATAAATGTAGTACAGTTGAAGAGTGATTAAAAAAAAAAAATCACAAATTATTTATGAATTTTTTAAAATAGAACTTAGCTGTGTTTGTCCGCCCAATAGGACTTTTTAAATAGCTTTAACAATGACAAACTCTACTTTGGTTTAAAGTTAATTTTGTCTGGTTTACTACGAAGCTATGTTTATTCATAAAAAATCCCATCTCTGTTGACAACCTATCCGAAGAGGGAGTCTATACTACTGGCGGATCTACGGGGAGGGGGGGGGGAGGAGGAAGGAGCTTTCGGGCTGACGCTCCCTTCCCCCCCAAAATGTTAAAATATAACCATGTTTTATGGAAAAATATATTAAAAAATTATCTGTTAAAGTATTATTGTTCGTGTAATTACATTTAAAAGGACTTAAGAAATCTCTTAAACACCGTTTCATATATGTAGTTAGTTTCTTTCTTTTTTTCCAAAGTAATTATCGCCACCTTTGGAAAAAAAAAGCTTTCGGGCTGAAGCCTCCCCCCCAAATTTAAATCCTGAATCCGCTAGTGCAAAATGGTAAAATATAACCATGTTTTATGGAAAAATATATTAAAAAATTATCTGTTAAAGTATTATTGTTCGTGTAATTACATTTAAAAGGACTTAAGAAATCTCTTAAACACCGTTTCATGTAGGTAGTTTGTTTCTTTCTTTTTTTCCAAAGTGATTATCGTATCCTTTGGAAAAAAAAAGCTTTCGGGCTGAAGCCCCCCTCCAAAATGTTACGGGCAGATCTACGGAGGGGAGAGGGGAGGATTTCGGGCTGAAGCCCCCTTCCTCCCCAAAATGGTAAAATATAACAATGTTTTATGGAAAAATATATTAAAAAATTATCTGTTAAAGTATTATTGTTCGTGTAATTACATTTAAAAGGACTTAAGAAATCTCTTAAACACCGTTTCATATATGTAGTTAGTTTCTTTCTTTTTTTCCAAAGTAATTATCGCCACCTTTGGAAAAATAAAGCTTTCGGGCTGAAGCCTCCCCCCCCAAAATTAAATCCTGCATCCGCTAGTGCAAAATGGTAAAATATAACCATGTTTTATGGAAAAATATATTAAAAAATTATCTGTTAAAGTATTATTGTTCGTGTAATTACATTTAAAAGGACTTAAGAAATCTCTTAAACACCGTTTCATATATGTAGTTAGTTTCTTTCTTTTTTTCCAAAGTAATTATCGCCACCTTTGGAAAAAAAAAGCTTTCGGGCTGAAGCCTCCCCCCCCAAAATTAAATCCTGAATCCGCTAGTGCAAAATGGTAAAATATAACCATGTTTTATGGAAAAATATATTAAAAAATTATCTGTTAAAGTATTATTGTTCCTGTAATTACATTTAAAAGGACTTAAGAAATCTCTTAAACACCGTTTCATGTAGGTAGTTAGTTTCTTTCTTTTTTTCCAAAGTGATTATCGTCACCTTTGGAAAAACAAAGCTTTCGGGCTGAAGCCCCCCTCCAAAATGTTACGGGCAGATCTACGGAGGGGAGAGGGGAGGATTTCGGGCTGAAGCCCCCTTCCTCCCCAAAATGGTAAAATATAACCATGTTTTATGGAAAAATATATTAAAAAATTATCTGCTAAAGTATTATTGTTCGTGTAATCTCATTTAAAAGGACTTAAGAAATCTCTTAAACACCGTTTCATATAGGTAGTTAGTTTCTTTCTTTTATTCCAAAGTAATTATCGCCACCTTTGGAAAAAAAAAAGCTTTCGGGCTGAAGCCTCCCCCCCAAAATTAAATCCTGGATCCACTAGTACAAAATGGTAAAATGTAACCATGTTTTATAGAACAAATTATCTCTTAAAGTATTATTGTTCGTGTAATTATATTTAATAGAACTTCAATAATCACTTAAACGCCATTTCATATAGGTAATTAGTATATTTCTTTCTTTTTTCAATCATAATATTATACAAAGTAATCATCATAATATAAATAAAAAAAAAAAAAAACTATCGTGCTGAAGCCTCCCCCAAAATTAAATCCTGGATCCGCTAGTGGTCTATACTACCATTCTTGTATTATATATATAATAGACAGATAATTAATAATAATCGATATTTAAAAGAAATAAGATTGCTAAATTCACAAATCAATAGATTTAAAAGTACATTTATACCCTACAACACAGGCGGATCTACGGGGGGGCTTTCGGGCTGAAGTCCCCAAATGGTAAAATATACAGAAAAAAATATTAAAAACAACCTCTTAAAGTATTCTTGTTCGTTTAATTACATTTAATAGGACTTCAAAAACCACTTAAACACCATTTCATATAGGTAGTTAATTTCTTTTTTTTTTTTTAAATTAATTATAGTTATATGTATATGAAAAAAAATCTTTCGGGCTGAAGCCCCCCCCCCAAAAAAAAATTAAATTCTGGATCCGCTAGTATCCTACAATACAATATATAAGAAGTATGGAATGGTATTGCCACTTGTTTTGTACGTTTTTCACATGAAATTTTTGAAGTCATGTTTTTTAAAATACTTTTAAACTGCCGACTTCACGGAAGACAATAATGCGTCACCAAACACAAACAAGAAAATGAAGGACATCTGTTGACTTGAGCACAGCCACTAAAGATAGCAACTTGAATAGTCCACACCACTAATTTACTTTCAAAAAATTTGCTTTCGGATATTATTTTCGAGAGCTGTATTTTACATCATGCTGCATCATAGTTTTTCTTTTTTGTATATTTTTATGAGGGTAATTACAATTAACCAAAACGTTCTTCATTTTTATTATTGCGTGCTTTCAATAATATTTAGGTTATGTATTTAGTGAAGAAAGAAAATGAAAATTCGAAGGTTTTGATATCCTACAAGACGTACGATATGGTCGTAGAATGAAAATTTGCCTTAAAGATTTAGGTACTGTGTCGTTTTTAAGTGAATAAAATCAATAAATACAATATTGAGAGATTCACTTCGGAATGAATTATAAAATCCTTGGCTATGCAAGAACTCCCCTCCTCCCAAGATATTTTATTGCTCAACTTTTCTTGAAAACAGAGCAAGCTAAGGTAGAATTCAAAAAATCGTAGATCATATACAATTACACTTAATGCGGTATGTGCCATGTTTTTCCCCTTTACCCTTAGTTCAAAAATCCATAACCCCATCGAAATTTGTCCCTCTCAAAAATTAAAAAAAAGACCATCAAATTATAACCCCCTCAAAAATTTTGAGCCATGAAACCCACCCCCTTCTGGGAATCAAGAGAATATTATGGGACTTTATAAGATTCTGATATGAGAAACAGAACAAATTGGCCTATAAGTAAATAAGATCTGGTGCGGTGTGTGCATCACACAACTTTTAGTTACCACTCCCTTCTTAGCAAAAATAAGAATTTACAGACAAAGGGAAGTGAAAATAAAAATTATAGACAGTACGAAACATTGTTTAAAACAATTAATTACCGTATGTTTTTCATAGCCGTCTATATATCATATTTATTTTATTGGATACAAGTTATTTTAAGTATTATATTAATATCATGTTATGTATGTCACGGGTGGATCTACGGGGGGGAGGGCTTTCGGGCTGAAGCCCCCCCCCCTCCCAAAACGGTAAAATATAACTATGTTTTATGGGAAAATATATTAAAAAATTATCTCTTAAAGTATTATTATTTGTGTAATTACATTTAAAAGGACTTAAGGAATCACTTAAACACCATTTCATATAGATAGCTAGTTTCTTTCTTTTTTTCCAAGGTAATTATCGCCATTTTTATGAAAATAAAAGCTTTCGGGCTGAAGCCCCCCTCCCAAAATTGAATCCTGGATCCGCTAGTGATGTATGTTGCCTGTTATAATTGTTCGGATGAGCTCGGGCTCGATCTTATTTCTTTGGTCCCTCTATTTTAACTATTCTTCGTTACGATCTCTACTTTAGTTAATTATAAAATTCTTTCATATTTTATATTTTCCTATTTTTTATATATGAGTGTAATGTGAGATGGTTAATTATTCCAAATAAAAAAAATTAAAGGCACTTTAGAGGAAGAAATATTGAAAATTAGCCATTTAAACTCTGTTAAAGAACATCAATGAGAATAAAACCTACATTACATTAAAGACTGCTTAATTTTATACTGATATAATAAATTTAATCAAAATCGTTAGAGCTGTTTTTGAGAAAATCATAAAAATCTGTTAAATCGATGATAAAGTTTCACCTTATAATATTCAATTTCACTTTCATACTATTTACGTTTTTGAGCTAGATTATGGATTATATAAAACACAAACACACAGAGTCCATTTTGTGATCTCCAAAAATTTATTTTTTTTAGTTTCAGAACAACCACCTATTTAAGATTTTGTAGAGGTGGATTTTAAAATAAAATTTGAGTCGTTTTTTCGTGACAAAAAATATTTGGCCTACTTTCATGGAAGTGTCCTTGGGTTTTTGTAATTTATTATACATTAGAATTCGTTTAATACAATTAGCAATATGTTTCATGTCTCCAGGATGTGGGGCTATTATTTTTCGACCTAGTATCACCAAAAAGAAGTTTCATTGAAATCGGTCTGTAACATCTGCTAATGATTGAAGAACAATTTTGTACAAAAACATTGTGGGTTATGGGGACTCCTTGGTAATAATAATTTATTTATTACAATTAATAGTTTAGTTGTGAAACATAAGTGATATACACATTAAAACAAAAAAAGACAAATTATAAAAAACTTTTATTTCAGCATGGAATCTTACAAAGTAGTTACAAGAATAAAGTTTTAGTGCACATATATAAATATTTTTAGAAATATCTGTATACTCATATACATTGTAAAAATGTGTACACTTACACTATCATATTTATATAAAATAATACTCATTTTAAATACAGTATAAATACTAGTTTACAATATTTGGTAAATTAATGCTAAGTTTTATCACATGTTAAAACACATCTCCACTTTTATGGTAGATTGGAGAACAATAATTAGCTGCGACAATGCCATATGGTTGCTGAGAACCGACATGGATTACAGTATCCTTAGTTAATTTGTTCCAGAAATGGAGGATGTAAGTATTATTTAGTTGATCCCTGATTCTGGGCCAAGAAGTCTCATCGACAAATTGTTTCCACTCCCAATATGGTATTGGGTAGAAGGTATTTGGTGGGTGTACAGTGAGTCCACAATCAAGTTTCCCCATCTTGTCAAAAGTATCCTTCTAAAAATTAGGAATAAATGTTAATAAAAGGTATATACTTAGTAGTTGGATTCCACCGAAATATTTCTAAAAATAAAATATATGTCAATAAAAGTTAGATATAAGTATAATATTTAGTAGTTGGACTGCACCAAATTATTTTTAAAAACATAATTAAATTTTGAAATTGGTTTTAAGATTATTTGAGGAGTACCGGATACAAATGCAAATTGTTCATTTTCTGAAAAAATTCATTTTGGATAAAATTCATTTTGAAGTAAACAACAAAGTTCAAAAACTCAGAGACAATAAGCATTATAATCTAAATCTTTTCAGACTTAGAATCTCCTTCTGAGGCTTCGGGAGGTAGCGGCTCCATTACCCAGTCGTCAGCCACTGGCCCTCGAGGTTGAGGGACAACACACACAAACACAGTACACTAAACATAGCGTATTATATGCACTCTGACACTACAGACAAAAGTCACATACAGTATACCTTAGGGCCACCTCCCCAAGGTAGCCGACCCCGGATAGGAGAGCAAGTCAGGAGGGTCTGAGATAGTAGACCTACCATCTGACTCAGAGAAGTGGGCTGATAACCCACTTCTCCTGAATCACCTAATCACAATTGCTCAACATGAACAACCCATAGAAAACAACACAGGAAACGTCAACTGGACTTCACAATCGGCACATGGAATGTATTGTCATTATACCAACACGGAGCACTATAGGTACTCCTAAGTATCCTGACTAATTATAAAATAGACATTTCAGCCTTTCAAGGAGCTAGATGGACGGGACAAGGTAGTTTTAAAAAAGCTCTATGCTATATTCTATAGTTGTGATAAAAGGCTCAACATATTTGAGACAGGATAGATGAAAAATAATTAATTAAATAATTATTAAAAATACATTAAAATAATTAGTATTAATTAAATATTAATTATTAAAATGAGTAAGACAATAAAAATACTGCAACTAAACCTTCAAATGCTCTCATGCTCCTACAGAAGTTTTAGAAGATGAAGAAAAAGATACATTCTATGAGGATCTTGAAAAAAGCAACGACGAATGTCCTAAGTATGACCATAATCTTGCCATAAGGAGAGAAGCGGCATAACGATCTATGATTGGAAGCTACAGTCTGCAGGAATCATCAAATAATAATGGCAAAACTCTTATCAACTTTACTGCATCTAAAAGCCTCACAGTTAGAAACACTTGTTTCTCACACAAGGAAGTCCATAAGGGGACATGGCAAAAGTATGGTTTAAATAGACTTGTTACCATGTCAGGGATTGGTCATGTCCTTATAACGACCAGGCACAGGTCGTCTCTCTAGGATGTACGGTTATTCAAAGACAATAATATGGACTCCAACCAATATCTTGTTGTAACCAAGGTAAGAGGAAAGATATCCATGGTAAAGTACCAAAAATAAAAATCCCTGAAGAATGTGCCAAATTCAGTGAATCCCTAAAAGCCAAGATATGAAGAATCGATGCTGAAGAGGGTATTGATGATAGATGGCAATGCTGCAAGAAAACCACCATCGATTCAACTGCTGACATACTAGGATTGGCAACAAAAGTTCAGAGCCCCTTAGTTGACAAGGAATGTAAAGCTCTAAATGAAAGAAGATAAAGCTTACAGAAAAATGTTATTACGCAAGTGAGAGCATTTACACAGGAGTATAAATGCTTCCGTAGGGAAGACACACATCTGAGAAGGAGAGAGAAGAAGCATGAGAAAGCGTAAACTCAATGAGTTAGAGATAACCTTTCAAGATGAGAACAGCCACCAGTTCTTCCAGGTTTTGCACATGCCTACAACGCAGAGGATGGTTCTAATAACACATAAGTTATTACATAATAACTGATATAGAGGCGGCACTGGATAGGTGGACTGATTATTTCAGTGCATTGTTAAACACAGGAACGTCAAGCAAGTGCTCTGAGGAATACTAGGAGAACGAGGCTCTGAGTGCAGATCACATTGACCCTCCAGATGAAGAGGAGACCCAGGAAGTTTTGTCAAAGCTCAAGAATAACAGGACCCACAGGCACAGACGACATAGTAATTTAAATTCTAAAGCATGGTAGCCACGAGCTTAGTATGTTTCTAAAGCATATATTTTTGGACATTAGAAATGAGGAAAGGTTGCCTTTGGAATGGAAGAAGGCCATCATATTCCGTATCCACAAGAAGAGTAATGCCCTAGAATGCAAGAACTATAGGGGAATATGTCTCCTCTCCTGTTCCTATGAATACTGTTGGTGGTCCACACAAGGTTGCTCCACAATGCAGATTCATGAAATAAGAAAATACCAGAGTGGTTTCTTATCAGGCAGATCGATGAGGGACCAAATCTTCACTCTCAAGTTTGCTTCTTGAGTAAACCAAAAAGTATTGAATTAACACATGTCATATATTTGTATACTTTCAGCAAGCTTATGATTCTGTAAACAGGACTGAAGTGTACAAAACTATGATCAATATGGAGATAGCTCCAAAACTTGGTAAGACTCCCATGTATGACAATGGGAAGTAACCTCTCAAGAAGCATCAACACAGGGACGGGAATCCATCAGGACGATGGTTTGGCCTGTCATGTATTTAACTTGGCTCTTGAGTGAGCTGTGAGGAACTCTGGTATTCGGACCACAGGGACACTTCTAAACAGACTTGTTCAGGTGCTTGGATATGCAGATGATTTTGACCTTGCTGAAAGGACCCTTGAGGCAGTCAGTGAGGCTTTTGAAGCTCTGGAAGTAACAGCAGCATGTATGGGGCTCCTAATAAACACAGATAAAACAAAATACATGTGTGTAAACCTAAAACATGATATGCGGGAAGACTTTGTTCAGTTGGGTTCACACAAGATAGAAGTGGTATGAGGGTTTGTCTTCTTGCCCCAGAATGCAAGAATTATAGGGGAATATGTCTCCTCCCCATTACCTATAAATGCTGTTGGTGGTCATATTTAAGAGCTTTTGTTACAAGTGGTTTGAAATATGTTTGTCCATATTTTGATTCTCATGCTTACCTCGTCTAATTTGCAGAATTTTCTCAACTGGTTTGTGATCAGTTCAGGACCATTTGCAGACCACGCTGATCCTTCGTAGGAGAACTTCAATGTGGAGAGAGTTTCTTCAATAAATTGATGTCCCACATCTGTCGGACTGAAGTTCATAATACCATTGGCTAGGACCGTATTTTCTTGAGCGCCGATATAATTTTGTCCTAAACCATCTAGAGGTCTGCAAAACATACGGCATCATACAGAGAGAGAAAGAAATATTTTAAGGTAACAGTTTATTATTTGTATATATGAGGCATCTAATAAAAAAAAATGGAAAACTCCATTTTAATTTATTTTTCTAAACTATTTTTGAAAACTTTTGCTGTGCTATAAGGTGATTCCAACCGATAATTATTGAGAATGATTATCCAGAAATATTATTTAACCATGAATAAAGAATGAATAAAAGAAATTTGAATATATAATATATTGCTTTACTTGATCCATCTTTAATTCATTCTCGTCAAAGGCTTGTTTGTGTTTATCAGCTTTCTAATTACCAACATTACCTGTGTTAATTATGATATAAATAGGTAGCAGAATTAACAATAACCTAACTAAAAAAATTAATTTATTTATTTAAAATATGCTCAATATAAAAATGAATCTGCAGTATGAATATACAAATCATATGAAAATATGAATGTACAAATTATACTTACAGTCCATAACAGTATTCTATATAAAGATATGATTCAATAAATTTAATAAAAACTCTAGATGAATGTATGATATAGATGGTTTGATTTAAGATATATATATATATATATATATATATATATATATAAAATATTTGACCATTAATATAATATTGTTTGGGAGGAATATTGTATATGATCAAATTAAGCTGAGATTTAAGAAATGGTGGGGTTGTGCTAGGATTGTTCTGTGATCTGTGAGTTGAGTTTAGTCTTTGGGCACAGGCGGATTTACGGGGGGAGGGGGGGAGCTGTCGGGCTGAAGCCCCCCTCCCCCCCCCCAAAAAGGTCAAATATAACCATGTTTTATAGAAAAAAATATTAAAAACTATCTCTTAAATTATTATTGTTCGTGTGATTACATTTAATAGGACTTCAAGAATAATTAAGACACCATGTCATAGGGGTAGTTAGTTTCTTTCTTTTTATTTTTCAAATTAATTATCGTTATATATATGTAAAAAAACTTTCGGGCTAAATGATGGGGTCTTTGGGTTGCCATCATTGTATCTGACGGTTCGAGGTCATCTGGTCATCCAGTCATATACTATATTTGCAATTGCATTTTTGGACGCATCTAGCAAATGTGCTATATTTATATATATTATATTCTATAGCTAAAAATAAAATTTTACCTAATACTTATTATATCTGTGTCAAGATATGTTCCACCATATTTGTAGAGTATTGCTAATCGAACCAAGTCTGAAGTATGTTCAACTGGATATGCGGAACGATTTAGCCTGCCGTTGAGCAGAGATGCAACGGGAGTCTCTGAGAGTAACCAAGGAATTTCGGCCTCTACAACGCCCACATTTCCCAATGAGAGCAGTTCTGGCCAATCTTCTTCCCATCTGTTACAATAAATATAAATAGTCAATTTTAGAAATGCAAAAATAAAAATAACTAGACAAAGTAAATAAATAAATTAAATTTTATATTCAGTTCCTGTTTATATTTATATTTATATTTAGTTTATTAATTAATGCATTATATCTAAAAAAATCATTTTCAGCATTGAATTTGAGTATTCTATATATTTAATTTTTTTTTTTGTTAATTTTAATTAGAGTAGTTTGAATTTAAACTTAAAATAGAAATACTTTACATTTTATATCTATATATTTTAATTAAGAAATTATATATCCAATTATATTCAATTGCTAATAAATTACTTAATACCTCTGCGAATAATCTTGTATCAATGGGCATGTGTGAACAATGATTATTCTGTGTCTAGGATTAAGAACGGCTGTGGAATATATCGCGCATGCCTGTCGTTTTGAAAGATGGAGAAAACCTGTAAAGAAAATTATTAAATCATAAACTTGGAGAAACTAAAAAAAAATCAAATGGCTTTTCAACTCTGTTGAGTTGCTAAATAATACAGTATACTGATATTAAAGAGGGAAAGAGAGTTAGATATTACAAGTAAAATAATACAGATTAAATAATAATAAGTAAATAGATACAGACTAAACATTGAAAATTTTCCTTTTATCAGTCATAGAATTGATAAAACTATGTCCAGACTTTATACAGATAATAAAGGATGAAGGATTTCTGGTGAGTCTAAAATAATGGATTCCATTGTTCTTTATAACTAGATCTGTTCAATACCCAGCTTCTCCAAAAAATTTCTTAGTAAGAGGGATGGTTCCGCTACTTCAACCATAGCTCCAAAAAAGAATATTTAAGTATAGCAAGCAATTAAACTTCAAGAAGGATGGGCAGATGTTCTTCCTTTTTTTTATTATTTATTTATGTTTTACATTTTTTATTTATATTGAATTTAATCTGGAAAAAGGTCATTCCTGTTTGATTAGTCCATATATACAACATATTCCAGCACATAGAATAGGTTGTACATTATCACAAGTAGTGCTTGACTTGCTATAAAATGTGTTTGGCAACCATCTTTGATACTTTTCTGACAAAATATTAATTAATTAGAGTACACATCTATTGAGATATCTTAAATTGATGTTAGTATTTCTTCTTATTATGTGGTGAGATTTTAAGTGCAAGTACACAGTCTCCTGCAGCATGGATCTCCAGTCATCAACATCTGTAATTTTGGATGACTTCTCCTCAAAGAGAGCAACATGACTTTCAATTTATAGATGGACATAAATTTCCCAATGAATCTAATCATCAGGAATTCTTATGAAACATCTAACATCTAAGGCGGCTTACTATCCTGGAGGTTACTAAATGCACATCTCTTTATAGTTCCATTAATTCAGTGGTAGTTCACTATCACCAGTGATTCTGTGTATGAATGGTTTTTCAAGATTCTTATCATGATCGGCCTCTCATATCTTACTAGGGCCAGTTTAAGGTTTCTGATTACAGTCCAGCATTTTGCAGCATATACTCGCTCTATATTCAAGTTCAAATCAGGATGACATCTCGACCACCTTTCATGAGCATATTCAGAAGAGAAATGACCCTGATGATTCCGTCAGCTACTGCGCTGCCTGGGATAGGTCTACACATGCACTAACCCTTCCTCTCCTCCCATGTTCCCATCAATTATATTAGAAAACTTTCATAGTGCCCTTGTAATTTAAACACTAAATAAATAAATAATAACGATAATAATCATGCCCATACCTGGCTTAACAGAAGATTTAAAAGCGCACGAGGTCTCTACGAAGAAGACATTGAATGGAGAAGGACTGATAGGTCTCCATATGAATGGAACTGCATACCCAGTGCGCGCTTTACCCTTCTTGTTCACTACAAAAGGCCTGTTGTAAAAAGCCAATTTTCTCGACTGTTCAACTTGAATGGTGTAATAATAGGCTGATATGCAAACCGCAAGCAAGAAGAAAATCAGCACCAACCACTTTTTCATTAAGGGGAGACCTGCAACAGATCAAAATAATATATTAATCCCTTTTTTGCACTGAAATAAAAGCAAATAACTTCCTCCAGTAATAAGTACATAATGCATATGAATGAAATTGTATAATATATGAGTACAAATAAATTACAAAGCAACATCAGGTTGTTAGTCCGAAATATAGTGTCTATCGGTGCACTACAAGTACGAGCTACTCGAGATACTAAAAATATACTAACTAAAAAGAATACTACGGAAAATATTGGGCCTAATCCAGGTGGATGAAACCGGCTGGAACAACAATGAAATCTACAAAAACGTGGAGAAAATCTCGGAGACTATGTGGAAGAAGAGGTTATCATTTCTCGGACACTTGCACAGAATGGATAAAATCAGATTAACCAAAAGGATATCTGACTACATTTGATCAAGAAGAAAAGGGCGGCAAAGGTTTTGGAAGTTCGTAAAGATCTAGAAAGGTCCTGAGCCCTTCGTCTTTTGGCGATTTTGCTAAACTTGTTATTTTGGGTTTGTTATTTCATATACGAAAGTATATGCCAGGAGCTGGGGGTCGCCTCATTGAAGGAGGTTCTGCAAATCCGCCAATTGAAATGGTTTGACCATGTGATTAGGATGGAGGGACATAGAAACCCATTGAAAACGATGGACTACGCTCCGGATGGCAAAAGACCTCGAGGACGCCCAAGAATGTCATATCTGGAGTAAGGAAGAGGCAAAGATATCCATCGAGCCAGGAACCTAGCTAAGAACAGAGAAGAGTGGAGTTGGTGGCTGCTCACTCCCTTAGCTGAGAGGCACGAAACGTGTATTTTCGTAGAAAATTCGGATTCGAAATTTTGCACGGTCGCAATATCTTTTCCCTTATTATGTAATTCATTTATAGGTAAACGAAGAAGCCGTGACAGCCGAGCATGTTGAAGGGTTGGCCGCTTTATAAAATAGATACTCGAGTCTAGAGGAGCCGTTCTTAATTCTGCCTGAATGGGTTGAAATTTATTTTGAGGGGGCTCACTATTGGTAATAAAACAGCACTTACTAAAAGGAAAAGCTATAAAGGTAAGTGAACGTAAAAGCACAGACCTACTGGTGGACACGGGCGGATCTACGGGCGTGGGAGGGGGGATTATAAAAATATAACCATGTTTTATGGAAAAAAATTATCTCTTTATGTATTATTGTTCGTGTAATTACTTTTTAAAGGACTTAAGGAATCACTTAAACACCATTTCGTATAGATAGTTTCTTTCTTTTTTTCCAAAGTAATTATCATCATTTTTATGAAAAAAAAAAAAGGTTTCTGGCTGAAGCCTCCCCCCCCCAACATTAAATCCTGGATCCGCTAGTGGTGGTGGATAACCACCGACAACTGTAAAATCAACACGTTGAAACTTATTTCTTTTCGACTAGTTATTATTCATCTTCAGTGATTTCTTGTGGCTGATCTGTGAAATATTGATGTTTATGGTACATGTACAGGTGGGCGTTTCTTCAACTTTTGAAAATAGTAAATTAACTGTTCGTTGACAAATAACAACAGCTCTTAAGAACTGTTAAAAAAAGAAGTTCAATGAACAGCGCAACGATTCATGGAGTAAGACCTAATCGTTTGATAACAGTCTTATTCGTTTTAAAACGGTTCCTATTCGTTTAATAATAGGTCTGGAAATGAAACGTTTTATGTATAAACTTTGGGATTATTCGAGCTTGAAATTGATAACCTTTTAATTTATTCTTAATATTAAATGAATGTTTAATCTTAAAAATACTTTTTAACTAATTAAAACTAAAAAATATTTTTTAAACTTAGAACGTTTTTTATTTTAATAATATTTTATTAACTTTCTCGTATTAATCTGGTGGTTGTGATTTTGGACAAGTTTCTAAACTCTCAACTAAACTGATGAGCTCAGCGCCGAGCTTAGGAACTTCCCCTTTATCAAACTAATTTGTTATAAATGTTTTGCCGTGTTTATTTTTATGAAGTGTTGTTCGAAATTTGAAATTATGCTGTTTGGTCATCTTGAATCTGTCTTTTAACTGTAGTTCAAACATTTTTCAACAGTTTGCTTCTTTCAATTTTTATAGAACATAATAGTGTTTATGAGGAGTTGACCGATGAGGGGAGGGGAGGGGATGCTGTCAAATATATACTAAATTATAGAAATAGTATTATTTAATTATTATGCCGACGTTTCGACCCACCTTGCAGGCTTTCATCATAAAATAAAATAAATGATTTTAATAATTATAAATAAAAATAATAATAAGTAAAATAAATTATTATTTTATTTTCACCGTGTAGCTTTTATATTTTGTATCTTTTGTAGACCTGATGAAGACCTGCAAGGTAGGTCGAAACGTCGGTATAATAATTAAATAATACTATTTCTGTAATTTAGTATTTATTTGATCGCATCCCCCCCCCTCACCCGATCAACTCCTCATATCATATCACGGTCAACCATCATGATACTGTTTACTTTTATGCGATTAAATTGATTTATGTGAATATCTTCAATCATAAAAAATTATTTTCGGTCCGCAAGACACTAATATAGACAGATACATCTAAAAACAAACTAATTTTGCCTACAAATATGCTTAAGTTAAGCTAGCTATGTAGTAACTATCACTAGCGTATCCAGAATTTAATTTTGGGGGGGGGCTTCAGCCCGGAAGCTTTTTTTTTTTCATAAAAATAACGATATTTACTTTGGAAAAACAGAAAGAAACTAACTACCTATATGAAATGGTGTTTAAGTGATTCCTTAAGACCTTTTAAATGTAATTACACCAACAATAATACTTTAAGAGGTATTTTTTAATTATTTTTTTCCATAAAACGTGGTTATGTTTTACCATTTTGGGGGTGGCTTCAGCCCGAAAGCCCCCCCCCCCCCCCCGTAGATCCGCCCGTGGTAACTATAACGTTAATGTATATTTATTTATAGCCTTCATTAATAATGGAATCTAAAAATTACATCTCTAAACTTAACAGTTGATACATGTCTTATAAAAAAACTGTTGCGTATTTTCATGATGTACTGATAGTTTCGTTGGAAAGCAGAAAGAGATTTTGTTTTGTTTGGAAAAAACAAAACGAAAAACATATCAAACAGCAACTCGACTTGTGGCAAACGAGTGAACTAAAGAAAAACAATTGTTGTTATCCGTTTAGAAGAACAGTTCATTCGTTTGAGATCAAGAACTGTTCTTTTCAAACGTATGGAGTTTGCTCTCCCATCCCTAGGTTAGGTACATGCTATGTAAAGTTCAGCTCGTGGATTTAGCGAGACAACTACGCACTTATCAAATATTAAATATATTAAAAACAAAATGTATCCATTATATATATATATATGGTAATTATGCCAGAAAGGACAATTTCCGTAGTACATACCTTATCCGTACTCTTCGGTACTCCTAGTAGAACCGCTAACGGTAGTGTGGCCGCGAGTTCGACAGGACAACCGGTCTAGCTTGCTCGGGCAGGTGTCTTGATTTGTAACTGAGTGAGTGCTCGGGACTTCGTACTCAATTTATTAATTATGTAATTTAAAATAGATAAATGTATGACTACAAATATAATAACTACACTTTATATTTATCACGATCATTATTCCAACTGTTCGGTGCAAGTTCAATACTAGATAAGGTTATCAGAAGATTCTAATAATAAAGCTTAGGGACGAAACAAACTCGTTATATCGACGTAAAATCGACTGACCTTTAAAATTAGGCAGGTATTATCTTCATTGAAATTGTATGATATGACTTAAATACCGAATTTTCAAAACCTCTACCTCTAAAGTATCTTTAGTTTTATTTATTTAAAATAATTAACCATCTCACATAGTTGCTTTTAATGAAAATGATTAAATAGAAACTACGAATAGATTTGTTAATTAATGAAAGGAGAAAGAAGATTATTGATGGATAGAAATTGAGAAATAGCAAACCCATGAGAGTGTATTTTTACTTTGCCTGTTCACATATTTCTCTTGCACATAACTTTTAAAATTGATTTTTTCGCTATAAACAATGTATTTGTTCCTGTCAGCAAATGTGCTCGAAATATAAGATGTAAAGACATGTCAGGCATGGAGAAGGAAAGTACTCAGCAGTACTTTTTCCTGACTTGTTCCAATTACTTAGGTTGTTTAAGGAAGGAGATCTCTCATCCAACGCCTTTTTAGTCTCCTCCGCATGTTATAGGTTATGACAGCTGTGGCCATGTCTCTTATTAATCTGTTGTGATGTCCGTTTAAATTTGTGTAAAATCGGCTGCAAAGGGTCGTTATATGTTGGTCAACCTTTGGAAGACGGAGGTCAGTATGTAGAGTTTTGTTATGAGCATTGGAAGATTTTAAGTTTTTGTAGGTGGATCTCTTTAGCGATAACGAATATTTGTAATGAGTATGCCCATTACATATTATGTATATGTATTCAGTTTTGCAGATTTGGAAAAATAGGTTTAACTGATTTGAATCGTGTGTTAAGTTTCAATTTTACATGCGGGCCCCATGTCATCCTTCTGTCCAAGGTGAGTCCAAGGTAAAGTACCGTGTCCGTTTGAGGAATTTGATTGTTGTCAATATAAACTGGAGGGCAGGTGTTTTACAAAGAGTTTTAAAAAATATTTTAACGCGAAATTTTGATGATCTACTAATATCTGTAACGAGGAGAAGAATAGTTGGGGTGGTCAGTCTAGTACTATGCTTCATATTTTGCTATAGAACTGCTAATATGGAAGAAAATATCATTCATTATCGGAATATTTTGCTGTATTATTTTTTTAGAAAGGTAAACGTGCTGCAGAAGCTCATAAAAAAATCAGTGTTTAAGGGGATGTTCCTAATGTGTCAAAATTAGTTTGCCTAATTATTGGAACCCTCCCTACTCACCAGGCCTAGCTCCAAGTGACCCCCACTTATTCCCGTTTCCGCAGAACTCCACGTAAACTGTACTTCCATGGATAGAGTATAACTGTACAAACGTTACT